TACGACCCTGGCCGCTGGTAACCAGTGGTGGACGCTCAATCGGCGTCCTGGCTCACCGTACAGCGAGGCAGCCTACGACGTTGAACCCACCTATTTGTTTGCCTTTGTTTACACACTGAACCAATGTACAATAGTAATTTGTCTGACGATTTTGCAGAATAGATATCTGAAGATTTACCTCTGCCGACTGTATATAAGTAACCATTGCCAGCGACCACTACCAGCAACCGGTATATTCTGCCTCAATCTTCCCTCGCCTCCCTCTCACCCTACTTCGTGTATAAATAATTAATCATCTTGTATCGAGTCCATTTACCCTTGGCACATTGTAAGTCCAGTCTGATCTTGTCAAATAATCCCACTTTCATTGCCGGAATCTTATCTATTTCTCTTCCACATATTAACACAACACACTCAACACACATCACTGGGCCGCCCGCACTTACCTGCTGGTCTCTCGTTACATATCCACATCAAACTTGTATGTATATATTGGTCCTCTACTGCTACACATTATATCAGTTTCCGACAAAATGTAAATTTTCACATCACCCCCACAGTTCTGCTCAAAGTTGGAATAGTTTATATATTTTTTAAAATTCCATTAGAAATATCAATATCCATTTTATTGCAAAATATCACAAATTCAATTTCACTTACAGCGTCAGTCATCTCCACTGAGCCGTGTTGCCCAGACCATATCCAGCTCCCACACGCATTCAATTTCCTCATATTTGCATTCACGTTCGACGCAGCAAGCAGTCTTGTACACTCTGCCTCACCATCAGTGATGCCTCTCGTAAGTTTTTTTCCTTATAGCTAAAAAAAATTAAGGGTGTAACCAAATTATATTAAACTACAATTATTTAAATTTTAACCAATATAATTCTACAAAATGTACAAAGTACATAATACGTACACGAAAATAATAGATAATCAAATGAAAATAGACATTCGGTATTCTTCATTACAAAAGAAAATGAAATCTGTTGGTTGGACGATAGGAGACTAAAGTTCTAAATAAATCAAAGCAGAGACTTTACTTAATATTTAAACAAGTAGACTTGTACTGTAGTAATAGTTCAGTGTAGACTAGTAAGTAAGCAAGCAAATTTTAATTTTTGCTTCTACACTGCAGCAACTAAAAATCTATATTCATTTATTTTATTTATTTTTTTTATTTTTTTCAAAATGAAAGGAGAAAGATTCATGCTGTTTAGAGGGACGAAAGTGGCGAATTATGGGCAGCCAAAAGAACATTGTCATTCCTAAATATGAATCTTGAATAACAAAACAGAAAATTAATAAACATTCACAGTTCGGCGTTAAAATGTTTGTTTTATTTTAACCTAAACTATCTATCTGTTTACTACACTGCCTCCTTGTGTACCGTAAAAGGCTTAGTTAGTTAATATTCAGTGTGTTGTGTATACACTACTCGAAATGGACCATCAGGTTTACGGCACCCACTTTTTATAGCGATGGTTTATCATTATACAGCTACTGAAACTCATCTACATCCTCGTACAATTATTTCCTTGTTCCCCCCAAATTTTAACCCCAGCTGCTGTTATGAATCATTGCACATTGTTCACTAACTAAGAAGATGATCATGTTGTATAGATTATTTTCCTTTATCCAGTATTTCTTCGTTTTTTTATTCTCAACGACTTACTTTCTACTTAAATTTACAATGTTACTGAAGCTCTGTGTTCTTCGTCCACCAACCAACTGGCCTGCCGCACACCGCACCTCTCATCCTGTGCTCTGGCTGTGTAATATACTTCCTTCACTGTAATAAAGTTGTGTTATTGTTGTGTCCTTAGGGCCTTCGTATCCTAGTTATTACAGCTGGTAAACAATAATGTGCCACTTCACTGTCCTGAGTTGGTGTTCAGAGTTCGCACGATGCTATTTTTAGAACCTGTGTATGTAAAGAAAAGAAAATGTCTATAGACCTAAAATCAATATCAGGCCTATTCTAAACCTCTTAAATGCCTTCTTCACAAACATATACCCAAACAAGTTGTATAGAGATCATCGTTCAGCTGGTAGTCCCTGACATGACCTCAAGAGAAACGCCTTCTCGGTTCATTAGTCCCTGCTCACTGCACTCACTGTCGGAAGTTGTCAGTATCGTCCCACTGCCGAGACGCTACACAATTTTTTTTCTATCTAAGACACCGAATACCATGTGTATCGTTTTATCAGTTGTAATATTTAGTCACTCCTTATAGGAGCTTTGTACACAGGTGTGTGTGTGTGTGTGTGTGTTAAAAACAGGCCAGCTTATTTAATTTTAACTTGACACGTTCGTTCAGGAAGAATTTATTTCATCTTTGAGACATACGGTTAAATGGCCCATTGCCAACACTGAGTAAAATTGGAAGACTGATTCAATATTTATTAACCAGTGAAGAAACGATAAAAAAAAATGGCTTAGGTTAGTCGATAATCAAAATAAAATCTATCAACATACGAAATGATTAGAAAATAAAAAATGGATGGACCTTATTTGAATGAAACTCGTCAAGCCAGTAGGAAATTGGCCCGGGAAAACTGATTTGATCATCGAAAACGTATAGGTGAAGGGTGAGAGAGAGGGAAGAGTGATGAATTAGGTGGAGGCTGAGAGGTGAGTGGCTGGGTGTGTGCTTCCCTCCCCTCCTCTGCAGCACCTGGACGCTCTGGGGTGTTAGTGCTCAAAGCTTGCATTTATATTGTATAAATTTCAACACACGTTTTATTAACCTCCTACTCTCCCTTAGCTTGATATACCTGTTAGATATTAAAATATGTCACGATTATATAAACTTATTTCGTCATCGAGATTTAATGAATATGTACATTATTTCCTACGTTCATATTCACTGAGGATTCTATATAGTGTCATGAACGTTATATACAGCGTGATCTGTTTATCTTCACTATTGAAACATTATAGGGAAATGTGCTGTAATATTTTCGTTTTATAGTAAATACATTTGAGTCCGTACTGTAGATAAGTGTGTTAATGTTGTCTAGTGTATAGCTCCCCCCTGCTTCCTGCTAACCTCACTGTCTCTCCTGCCTATTTTGATGTCGCTGGACCCTCTCCCCGCGCATCTCCTCCCGCTGATAACGCTGTGTCGTCTGCTTTAACTGGTGTGGCTGATTTTCCTCCCGTCACACCTCACGCCCAATGTCATCTGTCGCTCGCTGGAGAACATTAATCCCACACTTAATAATACAAGATAATGGTGGTGACAGAACACTTCCTTGGGGTACTCCTCTCCACCCAAACTATAATATCATCGCCTTTCCTCACTTCCTGCTTGTCAAATATCTGATTATTTCTCCAATTTTGAACGATTTTCATGTTTTGAACTTTTTGTTGATGTTTTTTTTCACATTTTTCTCCTTATCTAAAACAGACACGAATCTCTGTATATTTCCATCACTATTTCTCATATCGTTATTCCTCACCATAAACTTAACCTCGCGTCTGTTGCTTTACTTAATATATTGAAGCTAAATGTTTCCCCCTCTTGATTTATTTACTAATTTCACCTTTAATAATTCTTAATCCAATTTTTTTTTGCTGTATCTAATCGCATCTTCGCTGAATGAGCTGTCAGCAACAACAGGCTTATGGTACGATTATCACACAGCACCCCAGAGCTTTCAGGCTTATGACAGAGGATTGTAATGATGAAAGCCCTGGGCCTCTTATTGATCATGTCAGCATCAGTGTCAAGTCGCAACATTATTTACCTTATATCTTGTTCTCTCATGCTAATTTATTTATTTTTTTAACATTTCAGGTACAGTTGTATCGTCTTCTCCCGGTGATTAAAAATGTTAATATCGTGAATATTTTTATTTGATTTTAACTCGTTGATATTTTACTATAATTATTATGTTTCTCGACCTCAGTATGGTGTTGGTTCACAGCTTAATGACGACCACAGCTGACGACACCACAGCTTAATAGGGACTTTGACCACTCCACAGCTTAATAGGGGCTTTGACCATACCACAGCTTAATAGATTATCTGAAGATACTACAGCTGACGTCAACACAGCTTAATGAAGACACTGACCACACCACAGCTTAATGAAGACACTAACTACAACATAGCTTAATGGAAACACTGACCACACCACAGCTTAATGAAGACACTAACTACACCACAACTTAATGAAGACACTGACTACACCACAGCTTAATGAAGACACTGACCACACCACAACTTAATGAAGACACTGACCACACCACAACTTAATGAAGACACTGACCACACCACAACTTAATGAAGACACTGACCACACCACAACTTAATGAAGACGCTAGACCATTAATTCACAACTTAATGAAGACACCTCCCGACCACATTACAACTTAATGAAGATTAATTCTTACGCACTGTTAAATCCTAATGAAGACGCTGGACACACCACAACTTAATGAAGACACCGACCACACTACAACTTAATGAAGACACTGACCACCTCACAACTTAATGAAGACACTGACCATTAACACAAATCAAAATGAAGACACTGACCACAATTCACACAACTTAATGAAGACACTAATTCATTAATTCACAACTTAATGAAGAAACACTGACCACACCACAACTTCTAATGAAGACACTGACTACACCACAACTTAATGAAGACACTGATCACACCACAACTTAATGAAGACACTGACCACACCACAACTTAATGAAGACACTGACCACACCACAACTTAATGAAGACACTGACCACACTACAACTTAATGAAGACGCTGACCACACCACAGCTTAATGAAGACACTGACCACACTACAACTTAATGAAGACGCTGACCACACCACAACTTAATGAAGACACTGACCACACTACAACTTAATGAAGACACTGACCACACCACAGCTTAATGGAAACACTGACTACACTACAGCTTAATGGAGACAATGACGTCCATAGCTTATTCTGAAGGCACTCACGTCGAACCCTTGTACTTACAGAACGATCTCCACCGCGCCATGCAGAGGTCTCAGTCAGCCCTCAGTCAACAGCTGATGATCCTCTCAGCTACCTTCATGTGTCTTGTCTTTACCAGGTGAGTCGCAGGTGTGCTAGGTGAGTCTCTGGTGTGCTAGGTGAGTCTTTGGTGTGCTAGGTGAGTCTTTGGTGTGCTAGGTGAGTCTTTGGTGTGCTAGGTGAGTCTCTGGTGTGCTAGGTGAGTCTCTGGTGTGCTAGGTGAGTCTTTGGTGTGCTAGGTGAGTCTTTGGTGTGCTAGGTGAGTCTTTGGTGTCCTAGGTGAGTCTTTGGTGTCCTAGGTGAGTCTTGGTGTGCTAGGTGAGTCTTTGGTGCCTTAGGTGAGTCTTGGTGTCCTAGTTGAGTCTTTGGTGTCCTAGGTGAGTCTTTTTGAAAAGGGGGTGAGTCCCTTGGTGTACTAGGGTGAGTCTTTGGTGTCCTAAAGCTGAGCCCTTGGTGTCCTAGGTGAGTCTTTGGTGTGCTAGGTGAGTCTTTGGTGTGCTAGGTGAGTCTTTGGTGTACTAGGTGAGTCTTTGGTGTGCTAGGTGAGTCTTTGGTGTGCTAGGTGAGTCTTTGGTGTGCTAGGTGAGTCTTTGGTGTGCTAGGTGAGTCTTTGGTGTGCTAGGTGAGTCTTAGATGTGTCGTGTCAGATGTGTGTCGTGACTACCAGGTGTGTGTCGTAGGAGTCAGGTGTGTTGGTTTTCAGGTATGTGTTGTTTTGTTAGGTAACTCTTTGACTCTCCTTTATTATGTAACTCATTCCTGTAACTCATGTACTTTGTAACTCACTCCTGTAACTCATTTACTTTGCAACTCACTCCTGTAACTCCTCTACTTTGTAACTCACTCCTGTAACTCATTTACTTTGTAACTCACTCCTGTAACTCTTGTTTACTACACTATATATGCAACACTACACTGCACAGCCTCTCCCCACTACACTGCACAGCCTCTCCCCACTACACTACACAGCCTCTCCCCACTACACTACACAGCCTCTCCCCACTACACAGCCTCTCCCCACTACACTACACAGCCTCTCCCCACTACACCACAGAAAACACACCACAGCCTCCCCACCACACCACACAGCCCTCCCCACCACACCACACAGCCTCTCACCACACCACACAGCCTCCCCACCACAACCACACAGCCTCTCCCCCACCACACCACACAGCCTCCCCACCACACCACACAGCCTCCTCCCACTACACTGCAGCCTCCCACTACACCACACAGCCTCTCCCACCACACAGCCTCACACTACACAGCCTCCCCCACCACACCTCTCACACGCCTCTCCCCACCACACCACACACAGCCTCCCCACCACTACACACAGCCTCTCCCCCACCACACCACACAGCCTCTCCCCACCACACCACACAGCCTCTCCCACACTACACTACACAGCCTCCCCACTACACCCACAGCCCCCACTACACAGCCTCTCCCCACTACACCACACCCTCATAACCCGTGTCTCTCTGTGTGTCGTCAGCGTGTGTGGGATCCAACACTTCCAGCGGGCGGGTCACCGGCATCTCAACCTCTTCCAGGCGGTCTATTACGTGATCGTCACCTTCTCCACCGTCGGCTATGGAGACTTCGTGCCCGACATCTGGCCCTCTCAGTTGTTTATGGTCATTATGATCTGTGTGGCTCTTATCGTCCTCCCCACACAGGTATTGTTCTCCCCACACAGGTATTGTTCTCCATACCACACACAGGTATTGTTCTCCCCACACAGGTATTGTTCTCCCCACACAGGTATTGTTCTCCCCACACAGGTATTGTTCTCCCCACACAGGTATTGTTCTCCCCACACAGGTATTGTTCTCCCCACACAGGTATTGTTCTCCCCCACAGGTATTGTTCTCCCCAGGTATTGTTCTCCCCACACAGGTATTGTTCTCCCCACACAGGTATTGTTCTCCCCCCCCAGGTATTGTTCTCCCCCAGGTATTGTTCTCCCCACTCCCACACAGGTATTGTTCTCCCCACACAGGTATTGTTCTCCCCATACAGGTATTGTTCTCCCCCACACAGGTATTGTTCTCCCCCACACAGGTATTGTTCTCCCCACACAGGTATTGTTCTTCCCACACAAGTGATGTCCTCCCCGTACAGGTGATGTCCTCCCTACACAGATAATATCCTCCCCACCCAGGTATTCTCCTCCCCAACCTGATATTGTCCTCCCCTCCCTGCTATTATCCTCCCCACACAAGTAATATCCTCCCAACCCTGGTAAATTCCTCCCTGAGCAGGTGTGATACTCCCCACCCGCCCGAGCTCCCCGCCGTCCTCCACACAGCGCCTCGTCTCAGGAAATTATTTATTGAATGGTTTAATGAGGTGGTGGTGGTGATAGGTTCACCCCTTAGTGTGATGGATAGGGAAATAACGTGTGTGGGGTGTGTGTGTGGCCATGTGGATGGGGTTACGTGCGTGTATTGGATGTGGGTAAGGACTCTGGTGTGATGTGGGTAGGTGATTCTGAAGAGACAATGCCTAAAGTGATGTCTTCCCTGACTCACTATGGCGACCAAGATGTATCCCTCCCCCTCCTCCTTCCCGCCTCACTCCTCAGACAAGACAGTTATCAGAAGTTACTCCACCTCCCCACCCCTTCAACCAACCCTACCCCTTCCACCTTCCCTCCACCATCCCTACCCCTTCCACCATCCCCTCCACCATCCCCACCCTTCCACCTTCCCTCCACCATCCCTACCCTTCCACCTTCCCCTCCACCTCTATCCTTCACCTCCTCCCCTCTCCCCCTCCTCTACTTCTCCTTCAGTTATTTTCTGGTCTATAGTCACGAAATTGAGGCATATGTTGTCTCAAATTCGTTCTTTCTTAGTCGCTTGGACGTGAAATAGGCGGCAACCATCAACAGCCTCCCTCATGTGACGTGTGGGGGATACATCAGATGTTGTTTCCTCACCAGATGTTGTTCCCTCACCAGGTGTTGTTCCCTCACTAGGTGTTGTTCCTTCGCCAGGTGTTGCTCTCTCACCAGGTGTTGCTCCCTCATCAGGTGTTGCTCCCTCACTGGTGTTGTTCCTTCGCCAGGTGTTGCTCTCTCACCAGGTGTTGCTCCCTCACCAGGTGTTGCTCCTCACCAGGTGTTGCTCCCTCACTAGGTGTTGTTCCTTCGCCAGGTGTTGCTCTCTCACCAGGTGTTGCTCCTCACCAGGTGTTGCTCCCTCACCAGGTGTTGTTCCCTCACTAGGTGTTGTTCCTTCGCCAGGTGTTGCTCTCTGGTGCTCCTCATCAGGTGTTGCTCTCTCCTTCGCCAGGTGTTGCTCTCTCACCAGGTGTTGCTCCCTCACCAGGTGTTGCTCCCTCCTGAGTGTTGCAGTGTTGTTCCTTCGCCAGGCTGCTCTCTCACCAGGTGTTGCTCCCTCATCAGGTGTTGCTCCCCTCACCAGGTGTTGTTCCTTCGCCAGGTGTTGCTCTCTCACCGGTGTTGCTCCCTCACCAGGTGTTGCTCTCTCACCAGGTGTTGCTCCCTCATCAGGTGTTGCTCCTCATCAGGTGTTGCTCCCTCACCAGGTGTTGCTCTCTCACCAGGTGTTGCTCCTCATCAGGTGTTGCTCCCTCACTAGGTGTTGTTCCGCCAGGTGTTGCTCTCCACCAGGTGTTGCTCCCTCACCAGGTGTTGCTCCCTCACCAGGTATGTTGCTCCCTCACCAGGTGCTCACCAGGTGTTGCTCCCTCACCAGGTGTTGCTCTCTCATCAGGTGTTGCTCCCTCACTAGGTGTTGTTCCTTCGCCAGGTGTTGCTCTCTCACCCAGGTGTTGCTCCCTCACCAGGTGTTGCTCCCTCACCAGGTGTTGCTCCCTCACCAGGTGTTGTTCCTTCACCAGGTGTTGTTCCTTCGCCAGGTGTTGCTCCTTCGCCAGGTGTGTCTCCTCACCAGGTGTTGCTCCCTCATCAGGTGTTGCTCCCTCACCAGGTGTTGCTCCCTCACCAGGTGTTGCTCCCTCACCAGGTGTTGCTCCCTCACCAGGTGTTGCTCCCTCACCAGGTGTTGCTCCCTCACCAGGTGTTGTTCCTTCGCCAGGTGTTGTTCCTTCGCCAGGTGTGTCTCCCTCACCCCGTAGGTCACATTCCCAGCACCTTGTACCATTTTCTCTCAACGTACCACATTATCCAAGTCTTGAAATGATTAGTATACATGGAAAAATGCATACATACATACATACATACATACATACATACATACATACATACATACATACATACATACATACATACGTTTTCAGTAAGTACTAATAGTCCACTCGAACGAAATTTTCCTGTTCTAACTCTCAGGTAAGTCAGTGTAAGTAGTGACGCTGCTCCTTACCTTCCTCGTCCTGTTGTTGTTCAGTTGTGTGTGATGTGATTACAGTTTGGGTGTATAAATACTTTTAGAAGCTTGGGGGAGGGGGGTAGAGGAGGGTGAATAAGCAACGCGTGGTCATTGTACACCTTCCACAGTGCCATCTTCCCCACAAAGTCGCCTTGTAGGCCATTAAGGTGATTGGTGCCACACTCAGGTGGACTCACACAAGACGTTACCTCTGTCATGACTCAACAAGTAATGAAAGTTTAATATTTCCCTCAAGAAAACAGAGTGTCACTTTATAATGCCAGTGAAGACGACAGAGCGGTGAGAGAACTTACACTATGAGATGAACAGTGTCGCCCCAGCCAGTGTTTAGTGCCTCCTGGGACAATAAAACCCGCCACATATCACGTCTCCTTCTAGCAGTCGTATTCTTTGTTCCTTGGTTACTTCCACACAGTCACTCAACTCTTCCTAGCAGCTCCTAAAATTTCTTTTGTGTATGTCTGAGCTGGAAACTGCCTTTGTTTACGCCGGCAGAAAGAGCTGAGAGTTGTGGTGAGGACTGACAGCGGCGCTCCAGTCTTGTCCCACCACCTCGGCTTTCCTTGGTTTAACGTGGCTTGGTGCTGTATCATTGTAAGTACGAGTGTTGTTTATGTAAGTAGAGTTTTACTTGTAGATAAAAAGTAAATAAGAAATATAAGGTAGACAGAGGAATGTAATTAAATATATATTTAATAAATCAGTGTAATAAATAAGATAAATACCTGATTTATATCAAAACGTTTCGAAATTATTCGCCTGAGAAAGTTTCAAAGGTCATCCTCCTGGAGAAATGAGCCGTGTGTTGCGAGCGGAGGAGCCAGCCAGGGAAACAAGACCTGTGGATTCAGGCGTGTAATGGCGCCGGACTTTTCTTATATAATTTATAAAAGAGGAAAATAAGAACAAGAAAACGATGAGAGTTGAGGTTTATGATATTGGTGTGTTTTTTTTGGGTTTTTTTTTACAAATAATGTGACCGTAGGTGAAGGAGGTCCCCGCGGAAGCGTCCTCACATTACGTCATAAGTCTGCAGTTATAACACCTGGGGAGCCTCAGTCCAGACTATCAGCAGGACAGTCAAGCTGTATAAGTACTGTAAACACCTAAGTCGACCATCTTCCTCGATCATTTAAAATAATCAGTGAGTATTACCTGCGATGATCCCTGGGGTAGTAACGCGACCAGCAAACTTCAGCAGTAATCTCACATAATAATTATTTAAACCGAAATTTAAATAAAATCTGAAGTTATGTGTAAAATTATAAAGTAGAAACTAAATTTAACAATGACGGCAGACGGACACCCTCCGAACTGTTGGCGGGAGTGGGAAATATACAGCAGATAACTGTCTCTGGCCGTTGAGGACACCACTATCACGTATCAACAGGTCTTCTCCAGTTGAATGGTTATTTCAGTCTACACCTGGCGCTTTACTTTTATTAATCTTGCTTATAGCTTGAGGCAAAAGATATAAGCCTGGGAGGGATGGTCCAGCACCGGCAACCCGAGGAAGACAGGTCACAGGTTATGGATGAGAGACAACACCCTCGGGACGCTCCAACCTGATGCAGGGACGGTCCTAGATCCATCTACGTCAAGTTAGGTAGTGAAAAGTGGTAGTGGCATTGAGGGTTCACCCACCCAGTGTTTCTGAGCGATTGTGTATTGTGGGCAGACTACTTTGGTGGGCGCCAAAAACCTCTTCAGTCCGCTCAACAAGAGTGTCGAGATCAGTAGAGCGCTGGGCTGACTGAGACCAGTTGAAGGTGTATGTTACGGGTGTGGTGTACACACAAAGCCGCCCAGGAGGTATTGTATGTGTCAAGAACCCGGGTGAAATTTTGTACATTGTTTATTGATCACCTTTACAGACTCAGTTAACTTAAAACTTCATATTAATCTTGGAGGGAGGCGGTAACCCGTCACGAAGGTGCTGGTGTAGAGTTAATGTTAGCCGGGAGTGATCGGGTTCAGTAGTGTCACTCGAAAGTACTTCAGTGTAAGTGGTGTAGAACTAATTGTCTTGTTAACAGTACAGGTAATAGGACCGAAGGTTGATTGTTCCACGGAGACGATTAGTGTTGAGAGTACAGAGTGGATTCAAGAGTTCTTTTATCAAACCTCACATTGTTCATGTCGGAAGGATTGATTCACGGAGTCAGACGGAGTTTTTTTTTATCATGACCCATCTCGTTCCTCTGGCGTCTCTCTGGTCCATGGACACGTCGCCTCTGAAGTTTGAAACACCTGACCCCCGCGAGTTCTTTAGCCTTGGCAGGGGATGAGTTTCGGCAATT